GGCCTTTCCCCATCTATCCGTGCCTTTTTGCCCGCTGCTTTCAACTATTATAAAGATACAATTACCTTGGGAGATTGTGGCAGTTCAGTTGATTAGCACGGTGAATTAAAAGAATGAGTCACAAATGACATGTCCAGCTCTTCTCTACTAGTCCTTTGTATTCCCAGTATACCTCACCCCTGTTGTAAGAAGGTCAAAAATTAGAGAGAGATAACAATTTTCAAGCAGCTAGCACTTAGGAGCAGAATTAACAATCATTCTGTATGTAATTGCCAGTTAATAGTAAATTGCCTTCTAGACTGTAAAATGCAATATAAACTGGTGGGCACCTAAAATTAAATTAATGAGGTATTTGCTGCATTTAAAAGCGAATAGTGCAAATTAATAACTGGGTACAATACTTGTTTTAATATATATCGAACGGCGCATCGTTTGCTCGTGTAATAATAATTTAAAAAGTGCTACCTGAAAAATTCTCTGTCTGTCTGGGTAAATCGAGTGGTTTGCGCAGGTTGTAGCCATAATTTTGCTGGTAAAGTCTTCCAGGTTTCTAAATTAAATATCAGAGATTATTTTTTAATTAGAATATAAGCACTGCGGTGTTATTTGATTACGGCAAATTGTGATTTGTGTGCTTCTAAATGAAATTATGTTACAGATGAAATTGCACCTTTATACACATATTTTAAGCTGGGTAGATTCTCTTGGTTTACTTTAAGATGAGCGGCAGGACTGTATTTACAGTGTGTTTGTGCCACGGCGTTACTGTTTTCTCCAAGTGTGTATTTTGCATAATGATTTCCTAGGGAAGAAAGGAAGCGTAGTCCGACCCAGCGCCTACTCAAATAGTTTTGGAGAACGCCGTTTGGCACTGGGAACCTGTCATGCTGGCTTGCTTTCACCCCAGTGTTTCTGTTGCACTCTCTTATTTTGACAACTTCTTTTGCTCGGTTGAAGCGATGACCCAAATTGTCAGGAGACAGCAGATCGTTTGCAGTAGACTGTACCCGGTCGCTGTGCAAGGTATTGGCATTCGATGGCAAACATGTCCAGAGCAGCCGTAGCGAAAGCGTGAATGCTGAATACATGGAACCCTTCCCAGCTCTGCCATGCATTTGCTAGACGTGAACATAAAAATGATTATTTCGCACAAAGACTCGCATTCAATTTTAAGCTTACGAAACCATTACTCAACCAGTAATCGCTCACAGTTTGTGTTCCTTCTGATAGAGCGTTTGTGTTGAAGAAGTACGGCCGGGCTCCGAGGCTGGCACGGCACCAAGGGGGGGAAGCCCTCTGTAGTCACTACATTGTCCAGATTTTTCGGTTTGGCTCGGTTTCGCCTCGGTACGGAGACCTCCGCTTTGGCTGGGTTCCCTCCGTTAACCCCCACTCCACTTCCCCCTCTGAAAGATCTCGTGTTCCTCAAGTATTTTCCAGATCTTTTGTGTGCATTCAAATGGGATTCTGTCAATGGCGCTGTTACACTGTTTAGAGTCAATAGCTCCCTTCCATCACAGCCAACACAAACTAGCTGTCTCATAGGTCAGTGCTCTTTAAACAAATTACTTGTATCCACAGAGCAAATGATTGTTAATTGCCTCCCACAAATCATACTATTTTTACTATGCTAAACTACATGCTAATGCCTTAGTTAAATTCAAATCACCTGATTATTCCTTCTACGTATTCAATTATTGTTCTTAAGTACGGAATCTGGTGACTTTGCCAAACAAATGCTAAAAATATATCTAATGGACACGGGACTTTATTGGAAAGCCTTAAAAAAAAAGTACAGTTACATTCATTTCAATGAATTCCTCAGCATTTCTCATTCATGTATATTGCATTTCCTTTTTTTTTTTTTTTTTTAAGTGCTGTTGTCCTGAAGCAACTTACAGTCGTTGTTATTACACTATTGGTTATTTATTGATCAGACGTTGTGTCAGTATTGGTTGTTAGCAAGCTGAAAAAAATCAAGGTAGAACAAATATTCTTGCCCTTTCTTCAAGATGGGTCTTTCTAAGCCAGTCAAAGTTAGCACTGAAGAGCCAAAACCAGAAAGTCCCTCTGTTAATATGTTTAACCGCTTTATTTGAGCTGCAGTAAAACGTATTTTTCTTAAAACAGTGATGTTGAAGGGAACCAGTTAACTGTCTTTTCTTATAAAGAAGGTTTTTTGGCTTGACACACATTTTTAATTAATAGGGCGATGCTAAACATACAGAAATGATTTAGTACCATCAAGTCAATAGCGTGTTGGATAACGTATATTATATAATAGCTCTTTTTTAAACAGTAGCAATTCCAGGTTTATCAGGGTCATTGTTGTCCCCTTTCTTTTCTGTCTCAAAGGAGGCCAGAAGAATGAGACATACCATTTGTGCTATTGCACAAGTAGACTATTTGTCCTAATCAGTGACACCCATTTACTAGAATTGCTTAAAATGAACTATACCTCATACAGAAATCGCACATTTAGAGTGTTCCATTCATCATCTGAAAATTGAGGGCCAGTAAACTTTTCTGTTCCTCCAGCGGGATCATAGACATGCATCAAAATGTTAAAAAATGATTGGTGAGAGA